TCAGCACAGTTTGTCTTTATAGCGATAAGACTGGAATTGTATTCATGTTTAACAAAAATCATTTGAATCCACAATGATGTCCCTTTAGCAGCAAGAGAAAGAAAGGGGAGAGGAGGGGGAAAAAAAAAAAAAAAATCAGCTGAGTTAGCAGAGAATACCAAGCACTGTCTTCTCTTCCTACCCCCCAACACAGTCACCTTGTACGACAGAAAGCCCATTAAGACAAAAATAGAGTATCCTCAGCGTGGGAAAACATTTATCCAAGTTTTAATTTATTTTCAAATCAGCATTTAAACGATCACATCTTACATCATTTCCTTTTATGAGCCAGCAGTTAGACAATACACATCATTTACATGCAGTTTTGGAAGGCTGCGACATAAATCAACAAAAGCAGCCTTCACTAAGAATTAACTATTACAAGGCTCTTAGAAAGCCACACCAGCCTGTGCTGAGGGCAATTAGGAGTATCATCCCTAATTCTCATCCTTCTGGTGCGCTCTCAGGAACTCGCACAAAAACATCCTTCCCCCCCCTCCAAGTCATTGCTGCTACCAGTGAATTCGGGTGTCTATCAGTGAGGTGTAACAGCGCGCTCACAGCAGCTATTTTAAAGCATCACCCGTCTTCAAAAATGCATACCCCAGAAAAAAAAAAAACAACACCAAAACCAAAGAGAAAGTGATGGAGCGAGTTAACACAGTTGAGTCTCAATAGCAAAATAAATCAGCCTTATGCCTCTCTGGAGGATCGGACGGTAGAGATTTTAAAATGTGCGAAATATTAACCAATGCCTTTAGTTCACAGGTCATTTTTGCATTAAAACAAAAAAAGGGGGGAAACAAACACCCAGTTTGAATCTTATCTCGAGTCAAATTTCAGGAACGTTTTCATTTTGTGCGAGCCAAACTTCAAATCAAGCTTACTACTGGACGTGAAAAACGAAAAGCTAACCGCAGCGATGCTAAAAATGCTTCTCCACTATTTGCAAAAGATCAAAAAAAGTCCTCAAGGCAAGCTAACCGTTTGGCAAGCTGGCTACAAGTTCCAGTTACACCAAAGTGCTCCGACAACAGCGGGACCCACTGGGGGAGGAACGGGGACTGGGGGTACAGCCACCCCGCAAGCAGCGCTGCAAGGAAAGAAGCATGACAGGCTAACACCGTTTTTCTGCCAAATTCTGTGCCGCTCGCATCGTCCCTCGCTCGCGCCTCCCCGGTTTGAGGCGGTGCACGGCCGCTCTGTTGCTTAAAAGAGGGCTCAGGGGTGCGGAGCCCCAGGCAGGGGTGCTCCTCTGCCCCGGCAAGCCCGCGCACGCCTCTCCGCTCCCGTCAGCTGATACCGACCTGTTGAAGGGAAACTGCTCGCTCTGAACTCCAGCAGAGGCGTGGGGCTCCTGAAAAGCGTTAAAACTACAGACGGGGGGGTGTGGGGAGGGTGGTTCTGCGGCGGGAAGGAGCTCCGCTCGCTCGACCTCGCGGCGTTTCACCCTTTGGCTTTCCACCCGACAAGCGATGCCACTTGCAAAAGCGCCCTTCTTCCTTCCGTCCCCTCACCCTTCGGCTTTTGAGCTAACTATGGGAGGGCAAAACAAACTTCCAGGCCGGCATGCCCTTCCCCAGGATTTCACATGGTGAGTGGAGGAGCTCTGCTTTGCCCCAGGACGAACGAGCCACCCCTGCCGCTGCCCCTTCCCCTGCGCTGGGCAAAGACTTCCCAAAAACATCTCCTTGCTTTTCGGTGGCACCCAGGGCTGGGGAACCCGGGGGTCATTTTTTTTCCCCCTCGATTCACCGCTGTGTAACAAGGTCTTCTGGAAACAGCAAGGCTCCTTTACATGGTGAGGAAAGGTGCAAGCAAGGTTATGGAGATAAAAATAACATAAAACTGTACGGACTTTAAGCAGAGCAGCTGAAAACTTAGTATTTTTTAATACCTCGCCGCCAAGGTCCCAGGCCCACAGTACACTCCACGTAAGCCAACCCATTTAATGGCATAAAATCCCAGGAGGATCCACGCTGCTCTGTGACAGGGAGTAACTCCACTTGCATTTAGGTGCCCAACAACCGAGGGCTGCCCTGGTGTTCCGTGCACGTATATGCACCTACATACATCTATACACCTACATACAGCTAAATAAATAGCGAAGGCAGAACTATCTATGGAAGCATCGCTAGCTAGCTAGATCTGAGCTATTCCCAGCAAGCTCAGCTACGGCAAAGAGGAGAAAACCAGGATGGGTTTCTGCTTTTCAACAGGTCGGCGCAGTCTCCTTCCCACCGCCGGAGCAGAGGCTCCCCAGCAAGGCGAACGACCTTCGGTATCATCGCCGGGGTGTATGAGCTAGACAAAGAGATAACGTCATGCCCTCTCCCGCTCCCTCCATCCTCCCCGCAGTGGCAGGTAGCCAGCCAATCCCGCGCCCCGCACCCGGGTGACATCATCGCTGATGCCGATACACAAATGTGAAAGTACATCAAACTAGCGCTGCCCCAGAGATCTCGGGGCGCCACGGCTCCTCGAAGACCACCTACCCGCCACCAGTCCCTTGGGATGACAGACCAGTTAAAAGAAAACCATTGGGGAAGAGGGGTTTCCAGGAGGGGTTGCTGGGTAGGAGGAAAGCGGAAGGCAACAAGCAAACACAGCGTAACCACCTTCTTCCCTCGGTTATGCAGTTCCTCCAAAAGCCCTGAAAACACACACACACACACACACACACACACACATGCAGTTTCATCTTTGGGTGTCCCCGGAGCATTTTTCCTCAACAAAACAGCAGCTGAGGAAAGTTAAATACTGTTGCACTGCTATCGCACTGATTTTTGTTTTGCATAACTGCGCTCTTTCAAGACGACAGCCGAGGTTTAATCAACAGCAAGGAAGGTTTTTGTTTGGGTAGGTTTTGTTTACAAACAACCCTGTTAGGTGTCCACATTTTAAGACTAGGTACACACATGTGGACAAACGCTGAAGCAGCAGCAGCAGTGCAAATCCAAACTCGCACAACCCACCGCTCTCTGCAAGGCTCTACAGCGAAGCACTATTTACCCATTTCCTTTCCTCCTGGCACCCAAACCACCATGCCCTCGGTTACCAGGCAAGAGGAAACATCGCCACCGTTGCCTCACCGGCGAGGAAGGGCAGGGAAATCTCATCAGACACAGGCTAAAAACTCGTGTCCTGGCAGAACCCGCCTGCTGCTCCCCCCGCCATCGGGGGGACACCGATGCCCTTAGACCTCAGGTGTTCGTTCGCTCTTCCAAGTCAATAAACGCATGTGCCGAGTTTCATTTCTAACACTGACTATTCTGGGAGAGTTCTAGCATCCTTAAGGAAAACGAAATTTAAAAATTCTATCGGCAAGACTGTTAAACCACCGAGGACTTCACTCATTAAGTCAAAGCATTAACAAGTAAGCCCAGAAACAATGCACCAAATTGCAATAATTAACTGGAGAGTTTCAAGTCACACATTCACGCCCTACTTTTTTTCCTTTTCTTTTTTTTTTGTACAAAGGGTTCAGGTGATGCAAGCTCTGGGAGCAGAAGGATTACAGGAAAAAAAAATTAAATGGTGTCATTTCATTTGTCAGAAAAAAAAAGTCAGAAAAAAATTAAACGGTCAAAGTGCAGCTTCTCACTCATCTCCCCCCTCTCTTCTGGCCTTTTGAGCCACATCCCTTTTTCCAGCTCTTTGCCAACAGCAGCAGCCTGGCTATTCCACACCTCGTCCTAAAACGCAACTCGCAGGCTGTGCAGGCAGACTCCTTCTCCATCACAAAAGCCGAGGTTCACGCCCTCAAAACAAACTGACATGCGTTTCGGTTGCAGAGGAGGCACCGGAGTGCTTTATTTAGTTACTGGAGCTGCAAGCAGCAGTATCTTGCCATCAGGGAAACTCACCAATTCCACTGCCTTGTTTGTAAGCAAAAAAAAAAAAAAAAAC